TGTGACTTGACTTAATTGTCACTATTAGAAATTGTACACTATAATGTCTTAGAATTTTCAAAATTGTAATTTTCTAAAACTTTTAAAATCTCTTTTACACGTTTAGTCCTTCCATCTTAATCACACAATTTCCCTCTTATTATGTCAGAAAATACATCAATTAAAAAAAGATTATGTTTTTGTAAGTTCTAATAAAGATTATGTAAATTCGTAAAAAAACAAATCGTTTAGTGTCAAAATTATTATAATCAAATCCTAAGTCACTCGATTGGAGAAAATCATATTTTATTAGACCTATAAAAATTTGGTATATTGATGAGAGTTTGTCATTATACATTTTTTAGTATATTTTACATTTGTTTTAAGTATTTTTATTTTTAATTGTTTGTGTTTTTTTTTTAAAGTTTTAATAAAGTTTCTGTAAATTTGTAAAAAAAAATGATTCTTGTCAAAATCGTTTTAACCATACAAATTAAATATATTTTCACTATAATAGTCTATTATATATTATAAATATAAAAATATTAAAGTATCTGGAAAAGAATATTTTACCATTCTGAAATCAAGTTCAAATTTCTCTTATTCAATGGGAAATATGGTTTTTTAAACCACTACTAACACCATATTGTTTTGGCAATTAATGTCGCTGATGTGTCATCACTAAATTTTTTAATATATTATTTTATTTTTTTAATCACTTAATTACACTATTTTTCGTTGAACAAATCCCAACCCTTCCAATACCTGCTTTCATCTATAAAACATGCAGACTATCTTATTCCTCTACACTGCATCTGAAAACTCTTTCCTTTCTGTTCGACAAATTTTCAAAGCTATCGCACGGTCTGCTTCTCCCTTCATCTTCCTTCAGATTCTCCTCAAACAAAAACACAATCAACATGAACCCCATCTTTTTCTCACCCTCATTACGTTGTTCTTCGTTCTGTTTATTTCGATGTGGGTGTTGCTGTTTATATTCATGTTGTTGTTGCTCTTCATTTTTATTCATGTTTTTTTTTGTTCCAAATTGATATTAAATATTTTTCTCATCTTATGTATATTCAAATTTTTTTTTTAAAGTTTTCAATCTATTTATGAGTTGTTCTTTTTTTTGTTATATATACCGTATTTGAATTTGTTATTTTTATTAAGGTTACATATATTATGGAAGAATGAGAAACATACTCAATCCAAAAAATAAATATTTTGCACAACTTTATGATTCATTCATCTTTTTCTGTATTTCGTATTACAGAAGATCCAAAGAAGAAAGACAAAAGCCCGATTGATTGAATCAGTTGAGTACACGTGACTTTTTGAATTTTTTCTTTTTCAAAGCTTTCATTTGATTCTATTGTTTATGTGGTTTTTTATTTAAGTATGGTTTTTTCAATTACCCTTTGTTTTTCTTTTTCATCTTTAAAGTTTTTATCTTTTTACTTTATGAATGATTTGTCTACAAACCCTAATTTTGTATGTTATAGATTTAATTGAGATTTTTTTCAAAACCCTGATATTATGATTCAATTGAAATATTTAGATCTTTGTAGGTTGTACATGAACCTTTTAGTTTAATTTAGGGTTTTGTAACGATTCTAGATTATGAAAGAGAGTTATATCGAATGTTTTTGTTTTATATATTTTAAGAACATAATTGTTATAAAGTTGATGAATTTATTATTGAGTATTTATTTCTGGTGTAAAAATTGAAACTTTTTTGTGGTTTGAAAATTGGTTTTTCAGTTTGATAAGTGGTGGTGATTTTGGTTTGATTCAGATATGTTTATTTTCATTCTTTTACTCTCTTCAAAGAAATAACATCTAAGTAATTATGGATTTAAAGTTTGGTTTAGATCCAATAAGATCCAAGTTTTTTAATTAAGTTTGTGAAGAGTGATATTTGTTTATCATAAACAAAGAGTATATACATCACATCAATTATGTTCCAAGTTTTCTTTTTTTTTACTATACTTCATTCCTAAAATATTTTTGGATTTTGGTTTGTAGATATGAAGATTTGGAAGAAATTGATTTTCATTGTTGGGATAATTTAAAATACAATTGTTTTGTATTGGTAAGTTTTGTAGATATGCGGCATCTATGTATTTTATGTTCTTAATTGTAATTTTCATTATTAACTCTTAAGTAATTATTTTATTTTTTATTTTATCTTATTGGTTAATATTAATTGTATTTCTTTTCAATACATAAACTAATCACACATTATCTTTCAATTTTTCAATACATAGGAAATGTAAAACATTTGAAAACTAAATAAATTCATCTTTCCAACCTTTCCATTAATCCTATATAATCTCTTCTAATTTATAGGTTCTGTTGTATCAATATATTTTATGTCCTTTAATTGTAATTTCTTTCTTTCTTAATGTATTTATTAAATTATTTTTTATTTTTAAATTTTATCTTATAGGTTAATTATTTACTGTATTTCTCTTTCCAATACATATATTAATCACACTTTCTCTTTCAATGTTCCAATGTTCCACCAATTAAAATTTTTACATCTTTTCAATTCAATAAAACCATAATTTTCTAACAATTCCTTCACTTTCTCGAAAACCTTTCATTTTCCCTAAACATATACACTCATGATTACAATAAAAATACACTCATGATTACAATAAAAATTAACACTAAAAATTTATAGTATTGGTTAAGTAATATAATTCAATTATATTTTATTTTATATAATTTGTTTTGAACTAAATCAGAATACACTAAAAGACAATCATTTTAAAATACAATTAAGAAACCAAATGAGGTAGTATAAATTTGTAAATGTTCAACTTTAAATATTTCATAATTCTTTTAAAAAAAACTTTAAATAATAAATAATGTCTTTTTAATAACACATTAATATTTTATTTTGTCACTAAATTTTAATTTCAAGATTTATGATAGACTCATTTAGTAAAATTCGATATTTATAGCATGATACACAATATTTTTTTTACATTTATTTCTACAAATTTTATCCTTTATAATTTGTTAAAACATTTTTTTAAACATGTTTGTACCAAAATTTTTAACCAATTTTAGAAAATATTACTATTAATAACATTTAAAACTATATTCATTAAAAAACTAGAATCAAGTGACTATATTAATTTTATATAATTGTATTTTGCATTAGTATCATTAATTTGATACAAATTTCAACACTATTTACAAAATTAAATTTAATCATAAAAAATCACATTAAATTTATATAAATTGATATTAATATCAATTTAAATTTTTATTTTAAAATCATTTAATGGTATCTGAAATTAATACAGTTCATTTGGTTTTTGATATTATAAATTATTTTAATTTTCGAATGAATAATGAAAATTAAGATTAACTATTATTCAATTAATCATCTAAATTTTTAATTTTGTATCAATATTAAAATCATATCAATTATTACCGATTATTCACTCTTTAATTACTTTTAACTTGAAATAAAAAGAATTATGAATGTCATTGTTAACTATATTATTTTTAATGACTCACATATTTTTATAAAGTTAAGAGGAAGATATTTCAATTATTATATTTAAAAAAATGAGAAACACAATTTTTTTTGTAGTTCAGATTAACGTGATTGATGTTTTTGTTATTAAAGAGTTTATTTCTCTATTAAACATTGATAACTTTGATTTTTGACTTTTAAAGCATAAATATTGATTCTTTAATTAATAAAATTTAATTTGATTTGATTTTTTAAAATTTGTTTTGATCTAAAACGGAAAATCTTTTGATCTGTTATATTATTTTTATAAAAATTGATTTAATTAATTATATATAATGTTGTTTTATAAATCTTTTTAAAATAATCATATGTTTAATGGATTATGACATGGTATAAGAACCAAGAAAATTGAATTAACCTCTTCTCATAAAAATTTAAAGGTAATTTATTTTTATTTTAAATCTAATAAATAACATGAGATATTTGTTTAATTTTTAAATAAGTTCTATTAAATAATTAAAATAATGTTAATTCTTAAAATTATGAAAATTATAAAATACTATTTATCAAATAATTTTTAATGTCTTTTCTTTAAACATTAAAATCATATCAAATCACATTAATTTTTGAATATCAAAACATTATTATTTATCTATAATATCTATTAAAAATGTTTGTAAAAAATGTTTTTCTATTATTTATCTATTTATTCTTCATATATTTTATGTTTGTAAAAAATGTAAATATGATCTAATAAGAAGGTTTTAGGTTTGTAATTTGACGGGGAGCTGTCATACATTATAGGTTTAGAAAAATAGACTAATATCTAAAATAGGTTTAATATATTTTTAGAATTAACTCATTTGAATTCAACTATTGTTTGTTAACTCATCTGAATTCACGGGTAGATATCAACTGTAGATTGTTAACTTTAATATTCATCTTTTAAATCTTTCTTTTGTTACTGTTTAATATAATTGAAGTTAGAGAATCAGTTGTACGGTTTATTATAAGTACGAATCAATGCTTAAAAAGCAAGTGCATGTTATTAGCCTATATTTATAACTATGAAAATGTTAACCAATTTGAAAAATAATTTCGTACTTTACAAAGGATAATTTGGTACACGTATAACCGCACGGGTTTCTTACTAGTTAATAAATAAACTTTAAAGTACCTGGAAATCCAATATATATCCTCTAATTAAAATTAACTTTTAAATTAATCATTAAGGGTAGTCTTTTTTATCTACTCCTATCACCATATTATTTTGGCATTTAATGGCGTTGACGTGTCACTCTCATATTTTTTATAACTAATTTTTTATTTATTTTAATGTATAAGTATAATATATGATGACTATTAGAGTTCTTCTATAAGTGGGACTAGCAAACAATGATAAATGTGATTGTTGGGCAACGAAAAGATACTTCCTTTTCTCATATTACTAATCAATTTGTGTGGCTACAAATTCAAATATCATAATTTTCATATAAGACACATTCATTCCAATTCTTCCATATTCATGCTTCTAAATTTCGTTCTTCCATCTTCAAGAAGTCTCTCTATGTCCATTCTTCGTTCTTCCATCTTCTTCCTCAAATCATTTTCAAATCTCCTTACATATTTGTTTGATATTGTTCCTCTTTATCTATCATTCAAATTACCCATATTTACTGCCACTGTATTTCTACCACCCTGTTTTTGCCGCTCCGCCACCATCATTCTCTTTTGAAACCAAAGCAAAACGCAGCAACTGCACCACCACCCCCTTCTCTTTCGAAACCTCTGAATATGTCCACCGTGCATGTATTTGCCCGTTCCATTCTCTGAACTCAAACAACGATGTTTTATTTTGAGTAGAAAATGGTCATTAAGAACATTTGATCTTAAATTCCTGTTTCTTTGTATTTTTCTATTGTGTAGTTGTTACTATGGTGGATGTTTTTCTGGAAATGTCGGTGGCTATGCTCTATAACTTCAGACAAACTCCATGATAAAGGTAAAATTGTTTCTCCCAATGTCTCTCTCAATCAATCCATGTCTCTGTGATTGTATTTTTTTATGCTGATTGTCATAAGTTTGGTGAAATTTGAGAACATTAGATGTTGTTTATTTGTTTTGTTGCTAACTATGTGTTTGAATAAATGTCTAAAAGAAAAGGAAAATAAACTCAAATGCTTATTATGATTATGGTTCATCTTATTACCTTAATTTACAATCATGTGTTCCCTTTACTGGTCCAAGGATTTTGCTTCATGATACTTCTATTAAAGATCATGTTTTTTATTTTATTTATCTGTAATTAAGGATCTTATTGTCATGTCTCAGCTTTCATCATTTCATGTCACTTTTCCCTCTCAAAATGAGTGGCACAAGTTCACTCAAAAAGGTTTCTTCCTAGGACTGAAATGCAGTATCTCTGGACCAACCGCAACTACAAAAAGTAAATCCCAAAACAATTCTTAGTTCTTTAAATTTTCACTTACTTCGTGTTATCATCACAATTTTGTTTACTTTGGTTACTTCATGCTTCCAATTTTGATGAATTCTTGATGGACTTAAAGCATAATAAAAGAAAAAAGATCATTAAGAGTGCAAGAAGGTTAATAAAATTCATTCAAAATTGACATGTTGTTATGAATATGAATTATTCATTTGAATTAGATTTTACATGTTGTTATTAATATGGATAAATTTTTAACTGATGTATGGTCCAAATTTAAGAATTGATCTGTGATTAGTAATGTAATGTTTTTCTACTGAGTTGCTTCTGTTATGGTCAAGTGTACTTTTTTAATTGAATCTCCCGAGTGTCAGTATATTATGTTTCATGTTTGATACTTTTTTGGCCCATGCATCAATTTTTTGTTTTTCAGTTTTCATTTATGTGGGTATAGCTTATTTAATGTGTTTCTTATACACATGTAGAAAACTCGATACGTGATTATAACCCAAATCACTATATATATATATATATATATATATATATATATATATATATATATATATATATATATATATATATATATATATATATATATATATATATATATATATATATATATATATATATATATATATATATATATATATATATATATATATATATATATATATATATATATATATATATATATATATATATATATATATATATATATATATATATATATATATATATATATATATATATATATATATATATATATATATATATATAAACTAACTAGAGATTATTTTGTTCTTTATTCCTGTAATACAACAACACTCCGACATATATTTGTTCATCTTTCAAAAAATCAATTTTTTTTTCGAGAAATAAGAAAACTATTGATTTTTGCACCAGTCTCTAACTCTATATTTTGATGGGATGGAATAAATCTACAAATTTAATTGGACCTAGTTAAAATGAAGTTAAAGAAAGAGGACTGTTCTTTGGCAACAGTCACACTCCATGTTAGATACTTTTTGATCAAGAAAAGAAGAAGAGAAGACAAAAAAAATTGATGAATAATGCTTCTACAGATATGGTTAATTATTATAAAACTACTACAAAAAAGTGATTTTAGGTCAGTTGTTTAAAGTGTTTTACATATTTTTATTGGTCGAGGTAAAGAAGAGTATCACGAAAAATATGCCACATTTTCCCTCGGTTGGTATACCAACAAATGGAAAAAATTTACTAGTCATAGGTTCGATCCCAACAATTGCATTTTGTATTTTTAAAGTGTGTGCAACTTTACCTCTCGATTTTTTTAATACTCGATGTGAAAAGTTAGTATTTACTTCGGTCGGAAGTTTCAACTAAGGGAAAAATATGTTTTTTTTTCAATATTACATAATTTTAATTTTGACCTGTATATATACACATATTGTGACATATCTTATATTCACATGTTGTGACATGTTTTCAGCAGACAAAATAACCAGTCACGCAACACATATATACATTTTTGGAGAGAAACTTATACACACACTTTGTGACAGAATACAAATTTTTAACAAGGCAGCACAACGCATACATTGTTAACAACCAACCAAAAAATGCACACATACATCTACATCATACTAATCTATGTTACCATGCAATGATTCATGAGAAATTAGTTTAAGTCATAAGAAATATAGGAAGCAATCGGCCTGATGTGAGTGAACGTCATATATATAGTTTAAGTCATACGAATTGATAAACGGTCATAGGTAACAATATTTTTTCTCTTGAATTTACTTATTTTGTATGTACATTTGGATATCATTTAATGAACGTTGAGTAAATTGAATAAGGCATAGGTCCAAGAAAATATACTTTTCTAAATCTCTTTATGCATAAAATTGATACATGTACCTAAATGATGTTAGCACAAAAGTTCACATTAAAAGTAATTGATAACACTAAATATAATTTGAAATCACCATAAAAATTGTACATACGTACACCATATTTGAAGTACGGTTATATCAAGTGGTTAATAGCTTCCATAATATCTCTAATACAACTCTTTGATATATAATTTTTTTATTCTAAATTATGTTCTTATTGTATCCAGAAGGACTCTCCAAGATCCTCTACTATGCTTGTCAACCTATGCAATGGATTTGGTTGAGGCTCTAGAGTCTTAATATTATGAAAGGGGATTGGAGACAACTAACTTTCGTATTTGCACCACCTAAAACAACTTTCTTCAAAAATATCTAATTGATACAAATATGGGTGGGTGTGTACACCCATCGATTTCAATTGCAGCATCACAAACACAACAACAACACAATAAGTAATTTTAAGAACACAAACAACAACAACAACACACAACACATATTTTCAATCAAACAAACATAAAAAGTTCCTAAATAAAACTTATATTTATCTTAATGAAATCCTAAGACACAATGTTTCGCATGTCCTGAGTCACACTCCCTCACACCTCCTTGGTCACCTTATCTTATACCTCCTTGTTCCCTATCTAATGCACCTTTTTGGTCAAACTCTCTTGCACCTCCTTGGTTACTCTCTCCTGCACCTCTTTGGTCACCCTCTCCTTCACCTTTTTGGTCACCCTCTATTGCACCTCTTGAGTCAACTATAGTTGACTTTAAGAAATTAAAAAAAGCACATAGTAGGTAGAAAAAAAGGAAAAGACACAAATTAAAGAGTTAGTGTTAGAGAGATCACACTAGAGTTAAATCATGCGGCATACTCTAGTCCTCAAGGATTTTTTTTTTTGAAATTTTCAATATCAATAACTTAAACTTTTAAGTTCAACCCAGCAACTTTGTTTACACAATGTTTTTAATAAGTTTAGCTTGCAACCCCAAAGTTAATTACACATGTATAGGAGAACTAAACTTTTGAATAAACAAATTTAGCACGTCAACAGAATTACACAACTCTCAAAGTAAGTTTTTCATTCTCTCAACATTAAGGCAATGTATAATGAATAAAATTGATTTTAAATGAAAATGAGTGAGATGGGAAAATAGATAGATTGGAAAAATTGTATTTTAGAAGGGAGCACAACACTCCTTTATATAGAAAAATATTTTAACAAAAAAAGTAACAATCCGTAGGATTGACAACTCTTTAGTCAATTATAATGTGGCGCTAATCGATTAGACTGTGCCAAAATAGAAAATATTGATTTAGGTTTCCTCTTTAATCAATTAATTGGCTTCCTAATCGATTAGGACACGAACTTGCTCCTTAATCGATTATAAAAGAGCTCTAATCCATTAGATAGCGAGATTAGCTATTCTGATTGATCTGAATTGCTTCTTAATCGATTAACCCCTCGTCGGAATTGATTTTTAGAAGAAAAGAGGCATAAATGAAGAAAATGAAAAGATTTTAATGTGTGTGCATTATCTTAGTACATTAATACTTACTTTTTCTTATTTTATACACTAATGATCCAAACTAGATAAAATAAAATATAAAAAATCATGTGATCACAGACGAGCTTGCATAATCTTCAGATCCTTTTATCTTATTATAAACAATTGATTATCTTGTGCCAACGGTCAGAGTCTTCTCACTTTTTATTTATTTCAAAAACAAAAATCTTGATAATGTTTATTATAATTTGTTTTGTTTTATTTGTCATCATCATATTTAAGCACGGAGAGCTAGAAAAATGTCTTTCACGAACCACATCAAAAGTATATGCACTCATTTTGTTTGATTGACTTCAAAAATATTAACATGTACGATATATTATTTCCTTCCTTCTTTTTTAAATATCATTTTTTTAGAAAAAAAAATATTTTTTTATGTGTATATTTCAAAGTTTAAAATAGTATTGATTGTAAGTTTGTCAAAACTATCTCTAATTATTATTATAGAGAAGAAAAAAAGTTAAATAAATTATTAAAAAATTAAGAGTATTATAGAAAAATAATAATCATTATTTAAAAAGTAATAATAATTATCATTTATTTTGATATATATAAAAAATTAAAAAGTGACAATTAAAAAAGAATAGAGAAAGTAGTAGTTATTAAAATTTTGCAATATTCTTAGTTAGTTTAAACAAATCATTAAATCGATAATATATATAGTTATTTATTTTTTGAAATTTTATAATTGGAAGCAAATATAGACAGTTTTAAAGTCAAGAACAGCGAGGCATTCATTTTCCAAAAATTTTTGTTTGTTGTAATGCATATTGTATTTGGGTAAAATGATTTGCCGTCTCATTTGGTTCAAAATCAAAGTTGAAAAATCAATTATATTGAAAT